CGAAAACAATTTTTTCTCATGAAGTGTCTGCATAGTGACAATTTCATATTAGAAAATATCGCTACTCCACAAAAGAAACTCTTTTTTTCGAATCGCACTTTTCATAGACTGTATATGGTATCTAGCTACAATTTGTTCCTTATAATAATCTGATCGGAGATCTATCCGGTCAAGGCAATAATCTGGTCGATAATTATCCGTTTAGGAAAATATTTTCTTTTCAGGTGAATTATCCAGAGGATAATTATCCGGACGGTAGTTTACCCGGTAACAATTTCTGTCAACCACAATACAATAGCAAGTCATAAAACGCTTTGAAGAACATCAAAATCTTTGGTATGTGAGAGCCAATAGGTAGGCATTTCAACCAGGCAAATAACATGTTTATCCTATTTTCCTATGATCAGACGCTTTTCGAAGAAAAAAGGATTACTGAACACTGGAACCATCGGATGTAGTAGTTAGGAGACTTTTGTGTCAGAATGTCAGAACACAATGAAGGTTTGAGCGCTCGAAAATTTTATTTACAGACACATTTATAATTAACAGTTTTGAGCAAGAAGTCTGTAATCCAGTGGTTTGCTGAGTGCCACAATTGTTTTTTTTTTATTTATTTAATGTTTGTACAACTAGTGCAGTTTGTTTTTTTCTTAATTATCTCAATGTGTCTTTCCGGGGCCTTTTTTAAGCATACTATAAGGTTTGGGTTTTGGTCATTTTTGAAGGATGAACGAATACCTTTAACTCTACATCTTTGCCTTTGATCTTTAATTGACGTTTGTCTCATTGACACTCATACATCCTCTCCCTATTTTTAGATTGAACCCAGAGTCCCTGCAGCAGAGCTTGATTGATAAAATGTTACCGAAATGCCAAATAAACTGTTGACACAGAGATATGTCTCGCCTATTTGTAATTTTGATAATGCAAATGTTGAAATTAAAATAGCAATACTTTAACATGTAAGATATGCAAATATTCAAAGTCAATGAACCATGACTGAAGGTACAGGGCTAAACAATCTCCATGGAAATGAGATGTGCCAATGCTAATACAACTGCAAACCAAATACCATTGACTTTTAATAAGTCGTTCCCTTTAAACAAACCTAAACACAAACATTAACTTGTAAACTATGTAAAAGTTTCAAAGTCAATGAACCATAATTAGGGGTGGGGTTATATAATCTCCATGGAAATGAAACTTGCAAATGCCAATACATTTGCATACCGAATATCATTGACCTACCACTAGTGGTTCCCCATAAACTGACCTAATCACAAACTAATACATGTAAACTAAGCAGCAAAGTTTCAAAGTCAATAAACCTTGACTGAGGGGCAGAGCTAAATGATCTCCATGGTAATGAGATGTGCCAATGTTAATACAACTGCATACCAAATATCATTGATCTACCACTAGTGGTTCCCCATATACTGACCTAATCACAAACTAATACATGTAAACTAAGCAAAGTTTCAAAGTCAATAGACCTTGACTGAGGGGGCGGGGCCAAATAATCTCCATGGTAATGAGATGTGCCAATGCTAATACAACTGCATACCAAATATCATTGACCTACCACTAGTGGTTCACCATGAACTAGACCTAATAACAAACTAATACATTGTTGACACCGCCGCCGCCGGAAACAGCATACCTATGTCTCGCTTTTTGACTCCGTCAAGGCGAGATAAAAACTGATAGAGCATGAAAAACAACTGTAACCAAAAACTGATATGGAGCATGGAAAACTACTGTAACCAAAAACTGATTCAGAGCATGGAAAACTACTGTAACCAAAAACTGATTCAGAGCATGGAAAACTACTGTAACCAAAAACTGATACGGAGCATCGAAAACCGAGTAACTAATAACTGATACGGAGCATCGGAAACTTCTGTAACCAAAACCTGATACGGAGCATAGAAAACTACTGTAACCAAAACCTGATACGGAGCATAAAAACTACTGTAACCAAAAACAAACGGATACAGAGCATCGGAAACTACTGTAACCAAAATCTGATACGGAACATGGTAAACTACTGTAACAAAAAACTGATACGGAGCATGGAAAACTATTCTAACAAAATAACGGATACGGAGCATAGAAAACTACTGTAACCAAAAAACAAACTGATACAGAGCATCGGAAACTACTGTAACCAAAAAAAAAAAGATACGGATCATGGAAAACTACTGTAACCAAAAACGGATACAGAGCATGGAAAACTACTGTAACAAAAAAACGGATACGGAGCATGGAAAACTACTGTAACCAAAAACTGATACGAAGCGGATTAACAAACTGATGAACGGAAAGACCAGAAACCATAATCGGGGCATCAAACTGTTATAATCATCATGATAGTGCTCGACTCATCAGATCAGGTCATAAAGACTTAATTACTCAGTTTCTGAGAGATAACAGGCTAGTTTAAGGTGCCAATTTAACGAATAAAAACAATGCTTTCCCAGACTAAAATATCAAACAGTACACTTCCGACAGATTTTGTGCAAGTACGTCATAAGAAGTTTGAGAAAAAGCAAAGACCTTGTTCATAAATGGATAAAACATGCATGGCCACATAGCAATCTGATTTGCTTTTCAACTTTTCCTTTCCTATCCGATACCCATACTCCCGAAAAAGTTATTTGAATAGGTAGTGGCACAAGTGGAACATATATCTGATATTTGGGGAATTTGGGGAATGTTCATTCGTTTTCAGCCTAACAAATCTGTAAACATACCCTGCACAGGGCTAATCAAACTGGACCGTGCCTTCCAAAAAAGAGGATTTGACAAAACTGAGTGATTGTCAAATTTCATTGTCTGCAATGTATTGAAAAGAAAACACTCACTTTTCTCCATCTGATAGGATTGACCTAATAGTTCATATTACTTTGGTTTTAAATGTACATTTTTCACTCTCTTCCTATGTCTAATACAGGTTGCCATGTTTCATTAATTCAGTTTGGTAAAAGGTCATATCTAAGATAAATGCTTAAAAACATCTAAATGTCCTTTCTTATATAATGTTATCCTTTAAGTTTGATATATGTTGTAGTTTGACCACAACCTTTAAGATTTTCAATCATTATATAAATATGTAGCCGAGAGGGTGATAGAGCTGATTGTTACTCCGAGAAAACATTGTCAACCAAGGGGTAACAATTTGCTCTATCACCCTCTCAGGAATGTGTTATTTGATTTATTAAACTGAAAGTTTTGTTATTACTGTTTATTAAATTTCAAGTTTAAAGTAATTAACTATGACGTTTTGTACATAACCATCCGTATTTAATAAAGCACACAATTGATCAAGCGTCGGTCGCCGTGAAGGGTAATAAAGTACTTTCTGTTGGATAGAGTAAATTATTTACCTCATATTAACCAATCAAAATCTGGCATTTTGACATTATGTATAATTAATTCAATTAAAAACCAATTGTTCAGAGAACAGTTGAAGGTCTTTCCACCCGAATTAACTTACGATGAGGAAATTTGAATAAAAACAGTATGTCTGCCAAGACTGGACTTAAAAGATAACTTATCACGCATTGATTTTGAAAATACAATGTTTCAGGCACTTTTTTCATCAATAAAGGGAGTTAATAAGCCACCTCCGGTGTCAAATAATAGCTTACATTACGCTGATCTAAAAAATTATATGGTTTCTATATACTTTTGCTTGAAATAAGGGAGATAAATTGCAACTTCTGGTTTAAAATTGTCACTTCCAGTACCATCTGTTGGGTCACTTCACACTGATTCCCAAAATATATGGTTCCAGGTACTTTTGAATGAATCAGTGCAGGAAATGGCTACTTCCGGTTGACCTTTTCAACATCATGTCAACCAACCTTATGCAAAAGATACCATAGCTTTATCACATATAAATATGAATTTATAGCAAAGATCAAGAACATCAAATTTACCTTTGACCTTGACATAAATTTGAAGGTCAACAAGCAAGGACCTCAATTCAAATGACCCCAAGTCCCTTCTATATATACTTAATGACAGCTCATTTTAAACATAAGAGGGAAGGAAACTCCCCATTAAATGTTGACCCACCCTTTTAACCAAAATATATATGTTACGACATGTTGCAGTGTACATTTTAGTAAAACTACTTTATTGGTATCTTATATAAATTCTGTAGAGAAGCTGAAATAAGCTTAAATCAAAATTCAGAACATGACCTTGACCTTATTTTTTTTTTGGTGGACCCTGGACCTCAAATCAAAAACCATAGGTCTCTATCACTTATGGTTTATCAGTTACAAAAACATATCACTTATATCAAATACACAAGGAGAAATAACTCTCATATGGAGTCTCTGGATTGCTTCAGTCAAAATTATTTAGACATCCGGAGGATGTAACAAGCAAGTTGGTCATATAATTTTGTCGGTTTCTTTTATGGTTGGAAAGGAGTAGCGATCACAAGGAAAACAGTGTTTGGTGAGATAACTCTTACAAGGAAAAGTGTTCAGTTAAACAGGGTCAGTTTCAAAAGGTATAAACTGTTCGATATCATATACTAAATATCAAAGCAACATCTTCTGAAACAATACTGCACATGAAAAAAATCAATTATTATTCAGAACAAAATCAATACTGCGTAATTTCTGCAGGTTTCTTTTCTTTCCTCTGTGGTGTTCTGTAGTTTAACTTGCCTTACTACTTGAACATTAAATCTTTTTTGACATAAGCCCATCCTGATCTCAAAAATATCAAGAGTTTCAAATTATCAAGGATCTCATTAAGGCAGTTTTATGTATTTCAGCAGGTATACTTGCTTTTCTCCATTTAATTTCCTATATTTTTTTGCTTTTAGTCGCAATATCATTTAGCCCACAATTCATGTACTTTATTTTTCCTTTACATTTCTTAAGTAACACTCCAAGGACAACAACTTCAGCTGTAAAACTTTCATGATAGTTATTTATAATGTACAATAAATCATCACTCATGGCATGTAGAAAACACAATTCAATTTTTTCATTTTAATGACAGTTTTAAGAAAAAAATATCACTCTTGACAATTCCTGACCACAAACAAAGACCTAGTACATCATGCATATTTACCTGAAAATAGTGCATCTCATTCTATTATTTACTCAAATGCATCTAAAAGAATTATAACCTAGACAGCATGATTAAATTAAAACAGGTCATTATTAAAATTTGAACAAGTTAATGTTACATTTCATGTTTGAATACAAAAATGTTACACTTTAGTAAACAAATAAATTTGACATTTTATGATTTTCTGTTTAATAATTACAATAACTTTAAAATTTCAATGCTGAATGAAAACATAAAGTTCAGTCACACCAGGGAATAGTGAAGTAAGTAATCACTAGATTAAAAAATGTAAGGAAGTTCTTACCTCACTTTATATTTGTTACAACATAAACGGTACCTTAAACCCTTTTTGAGTTGGTGTCGTATTTTTGCCTTGAAAATGCACAATAAATTTTAAAGCTGCTTACATATTTTCAAGGTGCGTTCACTTGGTACCGTATAAAAATAAACAATAATTCTTTCCCCTGCCAAAAGATTTGAAGACCATTTTCAGATTTATTGGAATTTTTCGTGATAAAAATTGATTACTTCACTTCTGTGTCAAGTAATGTGGATTGCTTATATAACATCTAACAGTTGGATACTTGTATGGTGAAATAACCAGTCTAAAAACTCTTATCAAATTTTACTGAAATGTTAGAAATTAAGTGAAATTTGGCCTATATATCTTCTGATATGTAAATGTTCTTTTGAAAGTTTGTTAATGTTTAAATGGACCCATCTGTAAAAGAGTTTGTTTTAAAGAATCTGTTTAATTTATGCCCGATGGAATCGTGCGACTAATTTACCAGATTTCATACATTTTAAGGGTAGTTAGGAAATTTACTATATAAATCTCATATTGTATTTCATAAAAGAAATTGTCTCTTTATTTTTTGGCAAACATGAAAGCATGATTTTGGTTCACTCAAAATGTGTTTTTTTTTTTTTAATTTCTTCTTTTGAGCTTTTCATCCCCTTATCACTTCCTTTTATTACTTTGAATTTTAACAACAGACATATGGCAATGCACTGGCACATTACAAACTTGGCATGTCAATCAGTGGTAATGGTAATGCTATAGTTAAGTAATGGAATGTAATTTTTGGTAACTTATTATTCAATTAATAACATAATCTTAAAATGACAATCCTCCATAAAAGAATTGATATTCAAAACATTAACAAGGATTCCAGTTTCAGTTAAGAGTTTAATATAATTATAAAACCTAGTTAACTAAATGTGCTTTGCATAATTTCTAATGTCTACCCATGACTGATTATGTGTTCTCTGATATTAAAACAAAAAAAAATACATTGCGACTCTGAAACAAATTGATTTTAGAAGATTTTTAAAATGTTAACTGGGCTCTCAAAATCCACCACCATCCTTTAATATAAAGTCATTTATTACAACATTGTTCCACTTCGATTAAATAAAAAATATACTTCAGGATCTTCTCACTCCTCCTTCTGAAAGTCCTCATTACATTGACTAATGTTAAATAAGACCATAACTTTGTTTTTGTTATATAGTTTCAGTGTGAGTAAATCATATTAAGTACCAATATGCATTATGTTCCTACATGGAATTATGAAGTTCTAGTCATTTAATTCTAAATGCATAAATGAAGATGTTGGGGAGATAATCATTGGATACAATCAACATATGATCAGTTAAACAAAATCGAGGTCCTTTTATAATATTAAGAGAGATTGCATATGTTTAGTAAAATGAAAATGAGAATTAAAAAAAAAAATATTGCAAAAATGTTTTGTTGATCCCATCTTAAAATAACAAGAAGACTACTTAACAAACATAACAACAGTTAGTTAACAAACTCACTCATAACTAATTATACTTATTGTAACTATCTCTCAGTCCTCATCATCCTAACAAACATGGAAATGGAAATAATGTACAGTGAAACCTTGTATCTTATAATCCAAATAGTAGCAAATTCATTTTCATTTTATTAGTCTAAACAAATCTGATAGGGGAAATGGATCTTAATTGTTTTGCTGTTACTTGTTTGAACGTTTTAGATCATACAAAAATGTAGATTTTCTGTCATTTTTATGCCTTTGAACTGAAAGTCAAGTACAAAGAAAAAAGTTACAAACATTCTATATCCAATGAGCAAAGCTGTTGCAGTTCAAAAAATGTCTACTCATAGCTGCATTTTGCTACATGTCTTGATATTTTTCATCTATTATAAATGTTAGAAAAGATAACTTTGTGTACAATAGTAAATGAACACATCAATATATGACCTCATGACCATGCACATAAAATTTACATATTACTGCTTGAGAATAAGCAGATGAATGAAGTAACTAACAAATTTAAAATGCATTTATTTTTTACAGAAATCTTTCTTTAAATACCTGACATACATTTTCTTTCAAATTTCCTTCAACTATATATGAAAGTAATAAGAACTTTCAATAGAAATTTTCTTTCATTTCATTTGATTTCTGGAGTTCTTGAAAAGAAAAAATTAAACCATCTTTCCCACTTTGTCCTGAATTATATAATTATTTGCAGAAGTCAAAAGACTTATGATTTTAAATTCTATTTGAGAGTTTGGTTTACAAAAGTTTCACCACAATTACCAGAAATCACAAACAAAATTCATTACTTTTTTTTGGTATGAACAATTTTTCACAATAAATTAACAACAGTAAATAGCTAACAAAAATAGCACTTTTTTCAAGAATGTTACGAATACGAATTTTGCCCAATCTGCAATACATGTATGATCGTCCCGTTATCATCTACTTTTAACAATAAACAATAATATTACATTGCCAATAGTTAATCACAGTTAATGCAAACACATATATACTGATACATATATTTAGTAAGGCAAATTAATACTTGTCCTGTCAGAATTGGATTAAATACTGCATTTAATTGTTTTTCTGACTAGACTATAAAAGCAGTTGATGGGGTCTATATTCTGTGTACAATAATACTGTATGCACTGTATAATGTGCTACTTGAACTGGTTCGACTGATAATGATTCATTTAAGATTTATATGATTGTTGGTCATGTCATACCATCATGTCTGTTTTCAAAGGGAAAGTGCTATACAGTATATCATTCAAACAGATTAAACCTGTTGCAATGAAAAGAGTATTTACATCTGTACCATATACAGGTTATCAATTTCCATTGACAATAATCTTATTGATATGTGACCTCTATTTAACGTTGGCAAATACATTTTGTGATGATTATCTAAATGTAATGATCATCTGTAACTTTGGCAAAAATTTATTTGATAAGACCTTTTTTCTGACAAATCAACAACACCGGTAGGATATATGGAGATGATCTACATAATAAAAGCCTTACATTTATGCTGGTAAACTATTTTGGTATGCAATCATCAAAGATTGCCTTAGTAAAACACACACATATATCCAGTACAAAATCTTATGTGGTAAAAGCATTTACTGTCTGAACTCCATTTGCATGATATTTACCTGAGGTACATCTATGAGAAAACAAAAATGTACATAAATCTATCAGGCATTTCTAGTTGTGACTCCTCCCATTCCTTTTAAGGCAAAGTGGGTGGAGTATCACAGGGTGCTGCAAGTTAATTTAATGGACTATTTATCACAGAATTGCAATTATACAAAATCTTGACCCGCACATAAATGTACACAGAACTCACTTCATACAGGATGATATATTCCATAAAATCTTCACTTTTACTCTTCGATTATATACAATATAAAAATTTGTAGCAGTTACTCTCACTTGCACTCATTCACTTACTTTTTTTATCATCTCTACTATACAATAAACTTGCAGACACCAGATAAAGAGATTGAATGTCCCAACATTACGACAAAAAATGGTCCATGATTTATGAATAAATCAATTTTTGGTCTCAGGTAGTTGTAGCTGAATTGCCCTCTGAATTTGTTGGGAGATATTCATCATGTCTTTTATGACTATCTAACGCTTTTATCATAGTTATGTCATGTGGTAGTTCGGATTTTCGCCGCAACAATGGCTTGTCTCCCTTGCCTTTTTTCTTCGTTATCTGCAAAATTAAACATAATTCATTAAAAATATTTGGTAAGAAGTATTTCCTAAAATAATTGTCACATATACAAATAATGTTATTACACAATCACACTCAAAATATATAATAATTAATATTTAATATTCAACAAAGCATCCATGGTAATTTCTGACAGATTAAGACTCAATCTTGTTACTAGAATATTTTGTCGCAAAATCTGCTAGATATAATACAAAATTATAACAAATAACCATGCAGAGAAATCATATATATGGACTATTCAGAGGAAAACATTAGTTCTTTCTATGTGACACCTTATATTTAGGAGATAGTATGGTAAGGCCACTTTTTGTGACTTCATTTTAAATATAACAAAGTATTATAAATCTATGAAATAAATATTTCAGTAGTTCAGAAGACATTCGTCCTTAAGACATCTTAAAAATTTTTATTTGAATTTTATTTAATTTTTTGCTTTAGGCCTGCAACTTCTTGGATTTAATGAAAAACTGCCCAATTATCTCATTTTAAGACTTTCATATTGATATTACAATTAGAGCAAACAGCCTTATCTTAAGAGAAATATTTACCAAATGATGTACTATGCAAAGATGTTGAACCAATCAAAAGTTGTTTTTATGTAAGGTTGTTGCTCATAGCTATAAAACATTTTTTTACCAAACACTACATGTAGAATGGACAACATTGGTCAGTTAAAATCAGAACTTGATTCCCATTTGTCATGACATCACAAATAAAAACACTACCAGATTTTACCATTCCATTTATTCACCAACAGATGATTGAAGATTTTTTTCTAATTGCAGGGACCAATTAATTACACTTATAAGTCTTCTTCTTTCTAGTCACAGTTCCAATATCATAAATATTTCCAAGTATAAACTTCAGGACCTTTTCTTGCTTGCTATGCAGTATGGGTTTAGCTCACTGTTGATGGCTGTACAGTGACCTATAATTGCTTATTCATCTTATTTTTATACTCAGGCATAATAATTACATTAATCGCTGTATATAGTCAATGAATCATAACCAATTGACCATTATGCCTTACTTTTATCTGGATCCAGACCTACTAAGTGTTCCTCTATAAACTCATTTAACACTACCAAGATGCACTCTGATGCTTAATATTTTTTTTTATGTATCCCCTACCTTTATCAGGTATTTTTTTACTTCAAAGGGAAGCAAGGAAAGTAGCTTAGATTTGTTGATCATTTTATATGCTGCCCAAAAAATATACACTTGTTTCCCTCCTCCTGGTAGAAAAATATATGGTAAGTTGGTAGATAACCAAAAATGCAAGGATTTAAACAGTGCTTAACCAAAAATGTCCATAAAATGTGTAAGGGTAGGCATGAAACTTAAGGGTAGGTAGGGAGCAAGGAAACAACTATATTTTTCTATGGTCTTACTGGTGAATTTCTAACTAGAGTGCACCTTTATACATGTAAGCTAAATTCAAAGCAGCAAAGCATGCTAAGTAGGTAGAATTAAACATACAAAACATCAAAGAGCATCAAAACAAAAGGTCAAATTAGTCCAAGGTCAACTTTTCTTGAGGAGCTGCAATGTTACTGTAATTTTGAAGCAGTAGAGTACACAGGATATAATGTCTTGCCAGCCTATTGAATTTCTTGAAAGTCTTTTGATTCAAGATATTACTACAGGAATCACAAAAACATGAACATTATCAATGATTCATGAAAATGAGCTGAAGGTCGAAATGACATGTACATATCTTATCATTTTAGTTGACCTATAACTTAAAGTAACTGAGAATCTGGTGTAATTTTGATCAATAAACCATGAACATGAGGTCAAGGTCATTAAAAACATGCACATCTTACAATCATTACATATACACCAAATGCAGTTGACCAATTACTCAAGTATATGAGGAACTGAGCAAAATATCTAATGGACATGCACCTTTCAACTACTCACATCAATCAAATAAAGTGTCAAGAGCCATCAAATATGCCCTTTAGTTTTTTTTTCTAGAATAGCTGTAGGATCAAAAACATTGTCTTCTTTTTAATGTTAATCTCAAAATTTGTGTAAATCATTCAAGTGTGTGTCCTCTGTGTTTAAAAGCAAACTAATAAAAGTTCATGAATTGTGCTCAACCATGGCAGCATTGTGCAACAAGTTTTCCTAACACTTAAGTCAGTTATAATTTTAAAGCCAATTATTTGTTTTACATTTATTTTTCTTTCAAATATCATCATTATGAACAATCTATTTTTGCCACAGTTCTATAGTTTCAATCTCTGAGTATCTTTACTTTTTCTCTTCCGTTTTTTCTACAAAATTATATTGTACCAAAAATGACAGTTTTAGAATGCTTGAAAATGAATTGAAAGATGTACATTAACAGATAAGTTGATAGACAACATGACTTTACCATTCTAATGATTATACACTTGGACAACATTGATCAAACTGCAGCTAAAGAAAAAACTGCACAAAACACATAATAAATCACTAGCAAACTCAAATCTTTGCACTCCAGAAAATGCATGGAGATCATTTTGCACAGGGGTTGTTGCAGTCTACATAGTTGTGTGTGTGAAGGTTACACAAAAACAGTGTTAAATCTTTGACAGCTTTACAGGCATCAATGTTATTTGAAAGAAAAAAAGTTGTTTTTAGCCTCACCTGTTCCTGATAGAGCTATACAGAAAGATCATACATCAGTTTTTTTATTTCAAGTACATCTATTAAGTTAGAAACAAAAAATTCAAAACAAGGCTCACTTAAACATAAGATTATAAAAGTCCATCAAAATTTGCATTATATTTTTCCATAAATCCTTATTAAATAGATTTCAGAAATCTATCTTTCAAAATTAAAAATGTATTTCAGTAACTAAGGTCACTGAATGGCTGCTCATAACCTTGTCTTTATGAAATCAATATGAAATCTAGCTATTTTAAGCATTTTGTTATGAGATGTTAGGCTTAAACAATTAAATTCTATTCTTTATTTTCAATTGAAGGGGGCTATGAGATAAACAAACAAAATTCAACTATAAAACAAAATTATATCAAGAAAAACCTTATTGACCAAAGTCTTTATGTACAAGTGCAGGATGATAGAGAAATACAAACCTTATTCAACTGCAAATGTTTTCATTTTACAAGAGCTATTGAACTTAGATGTAATCTCATATAAAATACTTAGGAACCACTAATAAAGTTTGGTTTTATTCTTCAGAACACATATAACCCTTTTCAGTAAATTTTGTTTTCAAAAGGTTTTAGTTTACACTTATATTTTAGTCTACCTTGCAGTTATGGGATTACTTCAGATTCTGATCAGCCAGAGCAAGGATTTAATACAAACACAAAATTCTGTGGTTGTAGATTTAAAATACAATGCGTAAAAGCAAAAACATTTCAATCCCCTTTATACCTCTTGTTTGAAGAGAGACAGGACTAGAATTGTCAAAATCCTTCCTAACTTCCCTTTTATGTCTAAGACTATTGAGCTATAACATAAAAATTCCCTATATCTTTCCAAACTTATCTTTTATTCTCGAGATTATTGAATTCAAATTTCAGAATGGTCAACTACATTCTGGATTAATGTGAATTTGTTTTTTCTTACAGATGAGTACTATAACTACACACCTTTAAACTAAAAAACCATTACAATTTTTTGGCATACATATACCAAGATACCACATTGCATAATGTCTAAGTATAGGTTTTGCAAACATTTACTTCACCAAATTTTGACACAGACTAAGCATGCAGTCTCTATTCCTGATATAACAACAATTTCATTCTTTACTTTTCAAAATATACAATAAATTTTTATAAAACACTTTCCAAAATAATTGTACATTTTTTTTAATAAAGCATAGAACAAAATAAATTCAGGATTATATTTGTAGGTGCAGCAATATTTTTCTTGTAGGAAAATGTAGTTGAGAACATGCAGTGTGAATACAGATATATAAGTGTGACCTAATGCTACTAGTAGTAAAAAAAAAATATCTTACCGTAATCTGAAAGTGTGGATATGAAAACATATATCATTATTAACATCATATAATTTTTGTCAGTACATTTAAAATCCTATATATTTTCAAACCAAACAATTCATATCATTGTATAATGCATTACATAATTGTCATTACATGTATAACATAAATTACTCAATGAATGGATGAATATCTTCCCACTGATAATATGAATACTTGATTTTTTTATTGTCAGCAAGTTTTAAGATTAATGCAATTATTTATATCAGTAGAGATATACGTTTAGTGTTTACTAAACTGGAAGGAGACTCCCAAAGTACTTGGACAGGAAGTGACAGGGTGTCTGTCCAAATACTCCATGTCTTATTTTCAGGACAGAACAAATTAAACAAGAAATAAATATGGCAGCTTCTACAAAGGGAGTCAAGGTTGATGGAGAATGATGGCCATTGGAGAAAAAGATGTCATTTTACATTTAGGATACAATTTTGAATTTTAAACAAATAGACCACTAAACAAGTTGTTACAATAGTAATTTATTGTGAAATAAATGGGGAATGTGTCCATGGGACACAGATGAGGCCCTTGCTTGCATATCATATAAAGTTATAAAGGGACATAACTGAAGAACAGTAAAAGTGACAATACCCAAATTTGTACTTGATCTGAGTTTTGTGGTAATAAGTATTGTGTATAAGTTTCATAAAATTTGGTTGAGGCAAACTAGAGAACGGAAACAAAAAATTCAGCAATTTTTCCATTTGTTCAGGGGCATAACTCTAGAACAATAAAAGTGACACCACCAACATTCAAACTTGATCTGTATTTTGTGGTAATAAGCATTGTGTATAAGTTTGATAGCATTTGGTTTAGGCAAACTAAAGTTAGAGAACGGAAATGAAAAATTCAGCAATTTTTCCATTTGTATAGGGGCATAACCATGATAACTCTAGAACCGTTAAAGTGACGCCACCAAAATTCAAACTTGTCTGTGTTTTTGTGGTATTAAGCATTGTGTACAAGATTCATAACATTTGATTGAGGCAAACTAAAGTTAAAGAACGGAAACCAACTTTGGGACGTACATACGGACAAACGGACGGACGTACAGACGGACAAGGGTAAAACTTAATGCCCCCTCCGCTATGGCGGGGGTATAAAAAGTATAGCACTCTCTGTTCATGGTCATAAGATTTAAAATTCTCTTTCCAAAAATATTTATATGGGAGAGGAAATAACTTAGTAAGTACTTCTTAATCTAAAATGATCAGAAAACTGAACACTAATCAGTGTGATTACTTCAGATTTAAAGGGGAATTAATAAGGCACAAGGGGGTAATCCCATCCATATTTTTGGTGATCCTATGTGAAAGAAAGGATATGATATAAATGTGCTTTGAAATTGGTGACATAAGAGGGGAAAGTTAATCCTTTATTTTGCCCGCTTCCCAAACGAGACAAACAAGAGAAGAAAAACTCTTACAGGCTCTCTTAGCCAGATGAGCAAAAAATCTACCATTAGATGTTGACGATGACAATATCATTAACTACAGCAGAGTTACACTTCTGTGTTTTTTACGTAGACCAGAAAAACATTATCAAGTCTAAATTACCCAGGCTGGGTCAAACCAAAGACTTTAAAATTGGTATTTGCTGCTTTTCCACTAAGCACGCAGCATTAAGGAGTATGAGCAAAGAGTCATAATAAAGTGTTCGGGTAAGGTGACATGTCTTCCTGCAGACTGTTGCCCAGTGAACTAGCACGTTAAAAATCTGGCTCAGTGTGTCGGACTAGTACAAAGCAGGGTTAATGATTATATAACATTAACATGTTCTCGTCCTGAATATGCATATTAATTTGCCGCTGGGCATTAAGCAGCCATCCATCATCATCATCATCATCATCGTTTGAATTGAATGTATATCAAATATACTTCACAATTTGAAAACTGATTTTGCTAGTAAGAGTTAAAAAATCAATGACAGTTTAGAACAAGGTGATAAGGTGTAAACAAATTTTCCTAAATTTACAACATATTCTAATCTAACATTTAAAGAAATAGACAAAATATATTAAAACAAATAAGGTAAAAAAATCTTAGGTAAAATGATTTGTTTTATTTGGTGCAATATATGACATTTACAACATGTTGCAGCATTTTAACAGGATAAAAACAATCTGAATAACTAATTGTGCTGCAATGCATAAAAATAAATATCTAATATTAAGATTTATGTCTTGTCTATACTTATTGGTAATAAGTGTTCCTAGTTGGGATACAAGAAGCACTATAAATAAACAATGGCAAATCAGAATCAAAAACATTGCACATTTTCTAAACAAAGTAGAGAGCCATCTGATAGCCAAGTTTTCCAAGAATATGTTCAGACATTATTGCAAAAAAATGGATATGAAAGAACCCAACTTTTAAGCAGTATGAGGAAGTCTGTTTATTTTGAATCAGATAAAATTTCTGAAGGAAAATATTACTCAAGATAAAGAGTAAACCCAAATTTAAGTCAACTTCATCAAACAATTTAGGAGAATAACTATTAGGTAACGTGAAAAGTCATCAAACTTTACTTCAACTTTTGTCTAAACAAGTATACTATTTAAAATAGATGTGAAGAACTCTTAGAATATGGAATTTAAAGAGCAGCTCATCATCTAGACATTTTTAATCTATTAACTTGAATTTCCCTTGAATCATTAAAATTATCTGCTTCACTCTTCCCATTTATACAATTGTTCATGCTCTGTGTCAGTCCAAGCAAAGAAACATAATTCAGTCAAGTGAAACAACCCCTAACTATGTCATTTGATAATATCTTGAATTATCAAAGTGTAAAATATCCATCCAGCAGTTAACATGAGAAAGACCATCCACCTAAACATTCAATATGAAAAAGGGGGATCACTATCTGACTTGAGAAAGACCATCCACCTAAACATTCAATATGACAAAGGGGGATCACTGTCTGACATGAGAAAGACCATCCACCTAAACATTCAATATGACAAAGGGGGATCACTGTCGGACTTGAGAAAGACCATCCACCTAAACATTCAATATGACAAAGGGGGATCACTGTCTGACATGAGAAAGACCATCCACCTAAACATTCAATATGACAAAGGGGGATCACTGTCTGACATGAGAAAGACCATCCACCTAAACATTCAATATGACAAAGGGGGATCACTGTCTGACTTGAGAAAGACCATCCACCTAAACATTCAATATGACAAAGGGGGATCACTGTCTCTAGCATTTATTTGTATTAAGATTGAAGAAGATTGACCAAGCTCAAGTCTGCATTGTGTTCACAAGGTTTTGACTTGGAACACTGACCTTAGCTTGACTTTCAACATCTGAGATAGAATATATATTGGAATCCTTTTCCCTATCAGGGTGATTAATGATTTCTAGTCCTTAAGGGTCATTGTATTATCAAGGTAATAACATGAAATTTGATAAATACCCTAAAAGTCATTCAATTTGTATGATGCTGACAAGGATTAAACCTTAACCTTTGAAAGTCACTAGGGGTCAGTTACTGTGTTTGATGAGTATTGACCAAGATGTTTCCAAAAGGGTGGTAACCCAATACAAGACAAAAAAATCCTGAACAAAATCAAAATGATTATTTCCTCGAATTCATGCATTATAAAAAGTAAAACTTTGAAAAAAGTGAAATGCAACATCCTCTTACCCCTTTTGTTCATGTTATTTTTCAGGCCAACTTTCTGCTATATTACAATGGAAATTTATACATTTTTATCATCATTTACATCTTTTCAAAATACACTTTTAGTTTAGATATCTTAAAAATATTTGTAGATAATTAGATTGCGAAAAGTGAGGGGAAAAAAACACCAACATAAGGATTTCATACATCTCGGTTCAGAAGGTAGTTGTTTCAGCTGTAACGCAAGATTTTTTAAAACATTTTTTCCATTAATTTGTTTTTTTTCAATATTTTGACTTCCAAATGATGCAAAGGAGTAAAGTTTAAATGATTTTTGTTGTTTGATGTCAGATGTTTAAGCTAGGATCAGACTGAAGCCAAGCATTAATATCTGACTGTGAATAACACTGTGATTTATATTAAGATTATATTTTGTGTTATTAGATAGTACATACTGGCAATACAGGCAAGAGAAAGATAATAATTATAATGTTATTCACCTGTCGTAATTCACCATAATTTGAAGACATCTGAATTAAGAATCACAAGTGAGTGTGTGGCAGTGGTAAATGTATATATAAAGTGAATGCATGCTTAAACAAAACTGGCTTTTTTAAGTTACATAGTCATTTACACTATTTCAAACATATCTTAATCTTTTGATGAATTACATTTATATTTCACTATTATATTTGTTAATGCAATTACAAAGTCTACTCATTTCCTGAAACACTTATATAATAATAAAATGTTTGATTGATTTGCACTTCATGTGATACTATTGTTTTGACAGAATTCAATATTTTTATAAATAATGTAATATTTTTTATACCTAACTGGATTTTTCTTTCTTTTTATATGTGAATAGTACTTTTGTTTTACACAAGGATTTTATATATGTGATGGGTCTTTTACCTGACTTTTTTTGTTTGTTATTTATTTAAAATTGTTCACACTGCAACATAGCCCATGTGTGCTATCAAAGCTATAAACTGCCACATATCAATCAATCTCACAAACACTTGTAAAATAAATGGGGAATGTGACCATGGGACACAGATGATGCCCCCGCTTACATATAATGTTATAAAGGGACATAACAAGAACTGTAAAAGTGACGCTACCCAAACTTGTACTTGATCTGAGTTTTGTGGTAATAAGCATTGTGTATACGTTTCATAGCATTTAGTTGAGGCAAACTTAAGAAAAAGAAAGGAAACGAAAAATCCAGCAATTTTTCCATTTGTAAAGGGCATAACTCTAGAACTGTAAAAGTGACTCCACCAAAATTCGAGCTTGAACTGTGTTTTGTGGTAATTAGCATTGTGCATAAGTTTCATAACCTTTGGTTGAGGCAAACTAAAGTTAGATTTGATTTGATTTTGGTGTTTTAACGCCACTTTTAAGCACCGCTTTTGGGCTATTTTGTGGCGGCCAGTTTTTATTGGTGGAGGAAGCCGGAGTGCCCGGAGAAAACCACCGACCTTCGATAGGAAAACCAACAATCCTAGTCAATTAAGATTGGAGTCGAGTGCACCCGCACGAGCGGGGTTCGAACTCACAACCTCAGTGTTGACTGGCTAGTGATTACAGTAGTAACTACTTAGACCACTCGGCCACCGAGGCCCCCTAAAGTTAGAGAATGGAAACGAAAAATTCAGCAATATTTCTAATTGTAAAGGGGCATAACTATATAATGGTAAAAGTGACGCAACCAAAATTCAAACTCGGTCTGTGTTTTAAAGTAATTAGCATAGTTTATAAGTTTTACAACATTATGTTGAGGCAAACTAAAGTTAGAGAACGGAAACCAATTTTGGGACGTACGGACATACAGACAGACAAGGGTAAAACTTAATGCCCCCTTCGCTACGGCGGGGGCATAAAAACTTGAAAAGTAAGTGAACTGTATTCAAGAATTATATGACATTCCTAATTCCTGGTTAGTTTAAAGTACCAAAATGATGAAACAAAATCTGTACATGTCACACCCCTGTAATAAAGGATCTACGGAATGGTCATACATATACATACACTTCTTACTTATACGTGTATCTTTAAACTGTATCTTTAATTACATGCATCCTATTTATACACATATTTAAGACTTCTAGCACAAAACTTCCTAATTTGTAATCTATTCTGTACTAGCCAGTATTATCTGATAGCTGTAAAACAACCCACCTCATTGGCTTCTTTTTCTAATTCTTTCATATTAATATCTGTGTCCTCATCTAAACTATTGGGTGTTCCAGGATTTCTTGTTTTCTCACCATTTTCCATATACTTAGTTGCAACTTCTTTATACTGAAACAATTATCAACATTACTTAATTTTCTTGGGTAGAACAATGAGGATGACAAATGTGTCACCTTACTACAAAAACGTTCTCATTTAGTTCAACAAGGGAATAAGCCTAAAAACATGTGACTCTGCTCCAGTATGTAAAGCATTGTGATACAAGTCAATTAATAACAAAATACTGATTTAGTTGTCTTACAATAGTTCACCTGGTATTATCAAACCTTAGTACTGAGGAATGTTTCTGATTAAACCAAATTACTATCACATGACTTGACAATTGTAAGGATTCCTTTGACATTCTCATGAATTTCCCAAGGGTGACAATAGCATTATTACACTAATTTTCTCAAACAAGTGATTACCGGAAGTCTTCTGCAAATGTTTGAAAATTTATTGTCAATTGTTGTCGCTTTAATCAAAATTCTCATATTGCCAATGTCTTATAGTTGTCACATACCAGGTTTCTTCCCTAATTTTTTCGTAAATTCTACTCATGTTCAGTTCAATAAAACAATAAAGTTTTTTTCTAATGAAATACCTTAAATACATTATTTCTGCCAAGCTTGCTTCAGGTTGGCCATCTTGTTTTGAAAAAAAAAAATAAGCCATAAGGTTCTATAGGAACCTCTGTGCATCATTTCCACTATGTTTGCCATTACTTTAGACATTCAGTCCATCAACACAGATTTGTTTAAGGTCTATTCCAGAAAAGAATATTCTTATCAACATTAATCAGTCTAAAAATCATTCAATTATGATTTAAAATGATCAACCAATTAACAGGGCAGATCTTTACAGTTATCATTATCCGATGTCTTACTTGTGGATTTCCAATTGCCAAATTGTTGACCTTTGTCCATGCATCTTCTCGATTTTTCATTCTTTCTTTTTCTCTGTTAAAATAAAAATAAACGCTTATCAGTATATTGGACATGTCCTAAATAAAAACAAATCTAATCGACAATTACTATTAATCTATTCCCAAAATTTTCTGTCAGTTAACTATTTTAGAAAAGGTCATATTTACTGCATTAGATGGGATTTATTTAGGTTCACATCAAACATTAAAACGAAATACATATCTTCATACATGGTTACAAGATAAGCTGTATTGAAAAATAAACATTAACTAAATATGTACCTCTGTGTGACAGGCAATTTTGATCCTGTATAATATATACATGTACATCCCTGTACTAAGTTAAATAAGATTACTACACGTTGTTTTCAGTATGTGTAACTTTCACCTTTTGTAGCATTGTTTTAGCTCAAAAATGAATTTAAAACATTTGTCCAAATTGAAAAAACAACAGAGAGTTAACATATTTGAAAAAAACCAGTAAATCAGCCTAATGAATTTCTGAGACTCACTAAATAAATGTGGATTGTGTCCACATGTGGACACAGACGATGCCCCCGCTTGCATATCATATAGTTATAAAGGGACATAACTGAAGAACGGTAAAAGTGACGCTACCCAAATTTGAACTTGATCTGAGTTTTGTGGTAATAAGCATTGTGTGTAAGTCTCATAACATTTGGTCGAGGCTAACTTAAGTAGAGAACAGAAACGAAAAATTCAGCAATTTTTCTATTTGTAAACACGCATAACTCTAGAACGGTTGTGTATAAGTTTAATAACATTTGGTTGAGACAAACTAAAGTTAGAGAACGGAAACGTAATTCAGCAATTTTTATGTTTATAAAGGAACATAACTCAAGAATGGTAAAAGTGACGCCACCGAATTTCGTACAGATATTTTCTTAGTCTTTTTTCAGGTCCAAACTCCGACAAAGAAATTTCCAGGAGAAGGGAAGAGTACGGAATATTTTTGCTAAAACCTCGATTGTTTTTATGTTTTACATGTTATATTTGTAATATGTATCTTATTGTTCTTGATTTGTCATGTTACATTTTATATCTCTGTAGTTACGTTTATCATGTAAATTTGTCCATCTGTTTGCAATCCGGAAATTTGCCATGTCTTAATAAAGACACAATAAAGTTTTTGTTGTCGGTTAAATTAGCCTCTGTGTTCCTTGTTGTCATAACTTACTGTTTTTGTATGTGTTCATCATGGAGAGTAGATGAAAAGTGTATGAAAATTGAATAAACCACGCTCGTTTTGAAAATATAAACCGCCATTTTTTCTAATGTATCAGGTGATCGCCAGTCATGTGGGTCAGTCATGTGACTTGATATTGTAAAGTGATGATTTAGTCTATGAGAAGTTTATTTTTATAAATACGTTTCTACTTTAAACAACTGTTTAAAACCGTTCAAGAATTATGGTTGAAAACATGATAATCCCATAATTGTAACCTGAACGAATTTAATTAGGAACAAGGTGAACCTGTCACTGATTTGTTTTGACATTGATTAGGCCCGTTGATTGAGGTGTGATAATCCGGATTAACAGCTAGAATCAACAAACAAAAATAAAAATAATGAGATTTTAACAATTTATTACAGCACTAATGACGTTAATGATATTCATTTGACTGATTTGTAATTATGTTATTGTTTCAATCAGAACATTAATTTGGATATTTAATCTTGTCCTTGATACTCAAACAATTTATTAAATTTGGTTTTAAAAAAACAAACTTAAATGTAGATTTATCTCAATCTAAAAAAATTCTTATTCATTTGTCAGGATATTTGCAATTTCATATTAATTACGTATTCAGTACGAAATTCTCAGACATCGGTGTCCATATAAAAAACTTCCTGTTTGCCGATTTTGGAGCTGTAACTTTTCCGAAAATGTCTACGAGTCTTATACGAACAATAAACTTTTTTTCTCACGTTTCTTGGACCATAAAGGGGATGCGCACTATACACCCCAAAAGACGGTAATCTGTATTATGCAGTAATAAGCATTGTGTATAAGTTTCATAACATTTGGTTGACTAAAGTTAGAGAACGGAAACAATATTTGTACTTGATCTTAGTTTTGTGGTAATGAGTATTGTGTATAGGTTTCATAATGTTTGGTTGGGGCAAACTTAAGTTACAGAATGGAAACTAAAAATTTTGCAATTTTTTGATTTATAAAGGGGCATAACTCAATAATGGTTAAAGTGACACTACCCAAATTCAACTTGATCTGTGTTTTATCAGTGGAAGGCAAAATTAAACATTGCATTGTATAAAGCATTGATTGTAGTTGATTTAACTATAATCATGGACAAAGGAAGATAACTCCCAATTTTAAAAATTACTTGAATAATGACTGATATTTCTAGGAAAAAAATGAAAATTTAGCAATTTTTTCATTAGTAAAGGGCATAACTCTAGAACAGTAAAAGTGACACCACCAAAATTCTAACTTGATCTGTGTATTGTGGTAATAAGCATTGTGTATAAGTTTCATAACATTTGGATGAGAAAAACTTAAGTTAGAAACGAAAATGAAAATTTTTGCAATTTTTCCATTTATAAAGGGGCATAATTCTAGAACGGATAAAGTGATGCCACCAAAATTCAAATTTGATCTGTGTTTTGTGGTAATAAACATTGTGTATAAGTTTGATATCATTTGGTTGAGGCAAACTTAAGTTAGAGAACGGAAACCAATTTTGGGACGTACTGACGGACAAGGGTAAAACTTAATGCCCCCTCCGCTTCGGCGGGGGCATAAAAATACTTGGGGATGTGCATAATTGTAAACCATTTTCCAAATTAATCAAGTGTGCACTAGGGGATTGGGTTTTGATATGTAATTTGAATACATACTTCATTTCCCATTTTTTCCCTTTCAATTGTAATTTTCTAGTTTTTCTTTCCTTTAGTTAAATGATAATATAATTAAAGAACCTTTGTGAACACACTCTCATACCCCACGCCCCCACATTGTCACTGGGCAAACAAAATCTCACCAAATTCAAAGACTCATAACTCCTACAAAAGTCAACTGATGAAAATTTCATGGGGATGTGCGCATCTACATATTATGTCCTTATTATCTACAAAGTATCATAAGATTATGTTGTGTGGTTTCAGAGGAGTTGCGATGACAAACTGTTGCAGTAGTATATTGAGGCCAATAAGTGCAAAGGGCATAACTCCTAGAAAAAAAATTGAATCATAATTTCCTGTCGATACCCACATCTACACAGTATGTCCTTATCATCTATAAAGTTTCATGAAATTCTGTTGTGTGGTTTCAGAGGAGTTGCGATGACAAGAACAGGACTGACGGACGGACGGGCAGACAGACAGAGGGGTCAAAAACATACCCTACGCAAAAATTGCGAGGGGTATAATGAAAACTAGACAAAGTGATGCCCTCGCACTCCACTCTGAAGTAACTACATGTATTATAACAAAGTCAATGTAGGACTTTCTTTGAGAGATTATTGTGTCTGGGAGACACAAATGATGCCCCCGCAGATGCAAAGTGTTATTTTAAAATACACAAAGTTGAGCATTGGAGCACATAGGTCTATGGTTCACTGTAAGAGGAGTTATCTGGAAACGCTATGCACCTCTTATGCAAGTATATACTCCAAAAATGACAAAGTTCAACTATCTCCCAAAAGACCAAATATTAATAAAAATCACTAGCATTCAAACTGTAGGAGTTATGCGGAATAACTATACACCAATAATGGGACGGACGGACAGAAAGGGGTAAAACAATATGCCCCCCAACTTTAATTTGCAGGGGCATAATAAAAATACATACTTTTGTCTTTCTGCTTTATACTGCTGTGTACAATCATCAAACAGTTTCTGATTCATTTCCATAAATAACTTTAATGCATTGTAAATTAGGCCATGGATTGTCCTGAAAAAAAAAAAAAAAAAATTTTAAATCTGTTTAAAATGTTGTCTTTGATCTCAAACAAGTGATATTCTTGTATAACAGGCATTTCCTCAATGGATTGACAAGCTATTTTAACATATTGTAACATGTAACATAGAAAAAGTTTTCAAGTTTATATCCATCTCATTCAATCTGTTTGGCATTTTTGATTTAGCCAGTTTGCTGCTTACTTACAGCTTGCAATAAATTTTCTTTTAAGCAAAAGTCAGTTTACTAATATGTCTTGTTCCATTAATGATTAATCGGTTTAATTACAGATTTCTTCTAAACAAACTACATAAACTTGTTGATAACATTAACTGGTGCATTTGGTTTGTGAAGTACTGAACTTGAGATGATGCAGCCTTCACAGCAAACATGCGAGACATGCAATGAACAAAGCTAATGTGGCAATAACTTATTGATATGGATATCTTTAATGAAAAATATCTTCATTTATCAAAATTGTGACAACTGATTTTTTTAATAACAACAGAAATTTTTCTTTTTTTTTCTGTCTGCATCATACAAATCTTGTTTTCAAATGGTGGTTTTAGCCTTATTGTAATAAACTGATAAAATGATTCTTCATCAAGTATTTATTAAGTTTGTAGAAAATGAATTCATACAAATCATAAATCTTACTGCTGGTATTATAAGATCACAATTATATTGACCTAAGATCTCTCTCTCTGCACACACTAGATTAGATAAAAACTACTAACCACAAGTTAAGATATTGTGATTTAAGATTATCTTACTTATTCCAATGTTCCTTGCTCTTATACAAAGCTGGGAACACAACTGGTAGTATAGTTGAGGCATTATCACTGATCAAACTCAAGATGTACTCATTATTCCAGAAGTATAGTGCTCTTTCTGCCACCTACCAATAAAAACAACAAGCTTAAACAAAGCAGCCAGCAATTAATACATTATATATACACAAAAATCACGCTCTTAAAGTATTGTGAAATTTCTTCAAAGGAGTAGGTCCGGTAAGGGCCGATTTTGGCCTCAAAATTCAGGTTCATCTAATGAAAGATTTTGGACACTTTTAAACACTTAAGTGTCTACTGCAGTCGATTCAATTAGTTTATTAGAAAGATTTGAACTGATTTAGTCATTAAAGACGCTCAAATGCAAGCTTAAATATGAAAAATCTATCAAATATGCCATAATATGTCACTTTTCAGATGGTTTTTGTCAAAAATGAAAGTGGCCGCATCCGTGTTCATTATCAACCTTTATATATGTTATGTATTATCATCAAATACAACTTACATTTAAATACTAAGAATGAACACAAATGCGGCCACTTCCATTTCAGACGGAAACCGTCTAAAAATTAACCAAAATGCTAAAATTTCGAAGATTTCAGTAATTTAACATGACTTAATATTGCTAGTACCCGATACATGTGCATTGTATTGTCAAAAACAGCCCATATTTATGTAACAGAAGTATTCTTCTTTCCAATTAATAGTTACAAATTTACATTTTAACAATTTTGTAAAACTGCTATATTTTGGGGCCAAAAAGGGCTCTTACTGGGCCTACTCCTTTCATATAGCAGAAAATAACTTGTAAGTCTACATAAATCTTTCAAATTGTTCTAATGAAATGACTAAATATTTAAATTTTATATTCCTTACAGTAAAAATTTTCACAATACTTATATATACCGTGGCAAAATATTCTCTAAAATTCTGATATACTTTTGCTTTATTTGTTGTTTTCTCAATATAGCTGCTTCTAATCACACATTTTTCAAATATTTTCTCCAACAAGATAACAAAGCAAAAATATCTATGTATATAATGTGAGTCAAGCTTGATAAATAATTATGGCATATCTAGAATTAACAAACTATCCGATATAAAAAGTGGCAAATATGGCAGCAGAAGAATATAGAATGTTGTCTATATTTAGATAAACAAACATTGTAAACTAAACTAGACCCTGTCCCCTCCCCCTTTTCACTTCCCTTTCTCTTATCTAAATGATACTAATTCTAGATTGCCAAATGAAAAATCAATGTCATGATTTATGTCACAAGATTATATTTTAATCTAGGCTGCTTTACTAATATTGTCCTTGTCTAACTGAACTCAGTGGTGACAAAATGACAATATTTAGCAATGAGAATTTTCTTCCTTAAGCAGACAATACTTTCTACTTTTAGCAAGAAAATATAAGAGCAGTCTAGATGAAAGACATTCTTCATCTGTAAAAGTGTAATGTTCTGAATTTATGCATGTCATTGTTCAGTAAAATGAAATAAATTCAAATTTGTTTTCACTGCTTTTATTAAGTTATAATCAGTTATTTAATCTTTTATGAGAAAATTCAAATGATACTACTAAACAAGCATTCTGAGAGTATTGCATAGCAATACATAGTCCCCTACCGGTTAAAAATTCATTGTACTGGAACAAAATGCTAACTTGATCTATAACTTGTCATGGTGTAAACTATATAACAAATATATCAAGTCAATATCTACAAGCATGACGAAAAAAAGTGTGGAAAACTGATTATTTAAGTGAATTTTCTAAGTCCAAGGACTATAACTCTGCACAAAATCATCAGCCTGGACGAAATTTGAACTTGATCTGTAACTTGTCATGATAAAACTATATACCAATTATCAAATCAATATCTTCATCATGACAAATAAAAGTGAGGAAAACTGATTATTTAAGTGAATTTTCTAAGTCCGAGGACCATAACTCTGCACAAAATCATCAGACCGGAACAAAATTTGAACTTGATCTGTAACTTGTCATGATAAAACTATATATACCAATAATCAAATCAATATCTTCAAACACAAAGAAAAATAGTGTGGAAAACTGATTTGCCAGACTGACGGACGGACGGACGGACAGACGGACAGACGACAGACAGACAGACAGACAGACAGACAGACAGACGGAAGGAGTGCAAACCTAAAGTCCCCTTAGACTTCGTCGGTAGGGGACTAATTAGAATTAATCCAATCAAATAAGTTTAAAATATGGAACAATGAGATGCAGTGGGTGTCATGTTTAGACTGAATTTTAATGCATGAATTCATTGAACAAAACAAGTGAAAATGATTATGTATATTGTTTGAGGAGATTGCATTCTTCATCTTACTTGTTCCAGTGTTGTTTTGTGCTATATAAAGAAGGGAACATCATAGGGAGAATGATGTTTACATTATCTGCTATCAAACTGAGATGTATTCATTATTCCAATAATACAATGCTCTCTCAGCAACCTGTAAACAGTCAATAGAAACACTTGACTGGATGGGAAACTCCAGAAAAATAGGCATTACCCATACAGGAAAACCCAAAAGACATTCATATATATTGAAAATATTTGATATCAGGAATATCAAAATAAGACAGCAAGCTCCCATGTAAACTACCTTAACCAAAACCTGAAATAGGACCGATGAACACAGACTGATAAACAAATGCACAACTTTATTGTAAACTACCTTAAACCAAACATTAACCTACTTTAAACCAAATATTAACCTACTTTAAACCAAACATTAACCTACTTTAAACCAAAACATTAACCTACTTTGAACCAAACATTAACCTACTTTAAACAAAAACATTAACCTACTTTATACCAAAACATTAACCTACTTTAAACCAAAACATTAACCTACTTTAAACCAAACATTAACCTACTTTAAACCAAAACATTAACCTACTTTATACCAAAACATTAACCTACTTTAAACCAAACATTAACCTTCTTTAAACCAAACATTAACCTACTTTAAACCAAAACATTAACTTACTTTAAACCAAACATTAACCTACTTTAAACAAAAACATTAACCTACTTTAAACAAAAACATTAACCTACTTTAAACCAAAACATTAACCTACTTTAAACCAAACATTAACCTACTTTAAACCAAACTATTAACCTACTTTACACCAAACATTAACCTACTTTAAACCAAAACATTAACATACTTTAAACCAAAACTTTAACCAAATTTAAACCAAAACATTAACCTACTTTAAACCAAAACTTTAACCTGATACCAGACAATATGATTTTTGTTAAAGAGTCACTGACCCAAACTTTACTCACTGGGAAAAGATACAATTTCTTTCATTTGTGACAGATACCCTAGATATTTTGTATGACATCATGCAAGAATCTTTCCATACAAAATAAGGGATATGGTATGAACTATCCATCCGTGACCAAACAACAAGGATTTAATAATATTTTGTTGATTTCTATTTACAATTAGCTGTAGTGTTGATATCTACAGCAGTCTGTAATGTTACTTAATCATTCCACAGTACAGCATGGTATGACCACTACATCGACACTGGAATACTGGTAGGATATATATTTTAAAAGTGACTGTGGACAGTTGTGTGCTGTACACAGTAATTTAAATCTAATTATCAGGTTGAAGTGTACTTTCAGGTCATTTGGTCTTTAGAGCTAAAAAAATGTTCCAATTAGGTATAATTGGTTGTCTTTTACGAAATGAAATCTGTCTTCAATAGGGAATGCAGATAACATTACCATCCAATTGGATAATTATTAGAAATCATATGCACCATCAAACAGTGCTTCAACATTACCTGAAAATGTGGACTAGACACACATTTGGCAAGCTGTTTGAACAGTGGCACCATTACTTTAGTAAACTCTGCAGGTTCTATCACATCCAAAATTTCTTCCAATTCATTCAAATACATAACCTAAAAAAAATCATTTAAAAAACATAAAACTATTTAACTATCATTTTATTCAAAATTTCACTCATTCATAGAAAAAAGTAAAATTTTCATAAGAAATTTGACTGTGGTTGATGACAGATAAAACCTATATATACAAACAATATTGTTTCATCATTTACCACAAGTCTTGCATTACTGAATCAAACATCATTTATAACCATAAAAGTAGATCCTCTTATGATGATGCAGGCAATGTTTGGTCCAGATTAGCACAGACTACAAAATTTTATAGGTGATGTTCCAGAATTAAATGTATGGGAGGTGTGAGAGGCACATTTTTTTTTAGAACCACCCATAACATAAAATGTTTATGTAACTAATAATTCTTACATAATTCTAAAGAAAATGCAACCACCCACAATTACTTTAAAAAGAGTACCTCCCATCCTCTCAGGCTCTCACCACAATCAATTTTGGAAAGCCCTAAAAATATAGGACAGAAAATTGATGCGCTACAACAGTCACCAAGTGGTGGCAATAGTTCACATTGACCCTAATCAGGTGAGTTAAAAATTATTTAGCAATAAATATGTCCATCATATAATGAACAAAGTACTGTAACTGCAATCATAATGTAGGACAGCTTGTCTTCATCTTCAGGTAACCATATTGCTAGGTTCAATTAAAGCAAACTTAGTAACTGTCAAACAGGTGAAAAGGAGTTACAGTTTTATTGCATAAACTATTGTAAGAATTGTAAAAATCCCCTTAAAATTAATTTCATAGTAAATGCATTTCAATTGACTAACCTTTACTTAAATTGTAAATTAAATATTTACAACAACTTACTTCTTTTGGACTATGTACTTTTGGCCAAAATTTAAGCAGTCCCATTATTACCTAAAAATAAAAGAAAATATACTTTCATAAATATTGCGACAAATCAATTACAGTATCATGGAAAATTAAGATTGTTTGAACATTTACTGTGAACTGTTTGTCTATTTCCAACATATACATGAATATCAAATTTTATAATATTCAGCAGCCCAACATTATAAGGCCACCCTTGCTGCAATAGAAAGATGGCCTTATAATGGAGGTGGCTTCTCCTGGGAGGCATCATTTAGATGGTTTTCATTGACATCATGTCATCGGGATATTGTCTCAAGCATGCTTACCCCATACATTACTGCATTAATGTCTATACTTGAACTGTGTATGCTTTTGTGAATAAAATTGATTTAAAATATTAGTTGTTTGTTGCTTTAAATTGAGAAATAAAATTAAGTTTATACACTTTTCTTATTTTCACCTTAAACAGTAGAACATCATGCATATGAAGACTACTGTTTCACTTCTAGCTTTTAATTCTTGTTTCATCCCCTCTTTCTTAATTACTTTATTTTCACATTTGGCAATGAGAAAATACAAAATGATTTAAGACACCTTTTTCAATGTTTGTTTGAATAGTATAACATTAGTTTAAAAGCATATAAAGAAGTAAAGATATCAGGAATAATTTTCAACACATTATTTTTCATATGTGCCAAAAAAAAATTGAAATCATTAACATGATGAAAGGAACATTAAATAATGTCATTGCATTTAGTTTTATATTCATTTACATTTTATAGTAGGTATTAAACCATTTTTTAAGATTTTTAGGCCACTGGCCTTTTTCAGTTCCAACATTACCTGTGGCCAAAACGTCTTAAAATATGGTTTAATTGCCACAATAATATAAAATGTGTTTCCTATTGCAATTTCTAATTAAGCATTTATATTTTAAAATTAAACATAATGTAAAGGGATATATTTTTGAAATCAGTGCAAGATAAGGGAAGTAACTCTACAAACAAAGCATGTACATACTATAAGTTATATTAAGGCTGATGAACATTTGTAATGGGAGAAATCGGTTTGCACCACTTGTTTTCAAAATACCTTTCATTTGAGCCAGTATAAAGTATACAAAAACTATTTACAGTCAAACAAATGATTATTATGTATGATACGTATGTGTACAAGTAAATAGGCACAAATAAATTCTGTATATACACACAGTTAATACCTTTGAAAAATAAAAATTGGTGCAAAAGGACTGCTGCCTTTGTAACTTATGTTATAAATAACGGTATGTTTGACACCCAAGCTGTCAGGGGAAGCCATTCAATTGTCCAAATTAATTTTGCCTGTATTTTAAATTTACCGACAAACCTTTGGTTTCTGGTGGATAGTTCTCATTGGCAACCATACAACATCTCATTGGCAATCATACAACATCTTATTTTTATAATGGTCATGCTTAAAATCATAATGGAACGGAAAGAACATCTGGTCGTACATTACATCCTCAACCTTGGATACTTTGTTTTGCATAGTAAAACATTATTGTATAAATGTTAGTGCACTACTATTTAGTATCAGCTAATCTTTGATATGTTTTAACATGGTATAGTTTTATAAAACATGCATTCATGTAGTGGTGGTCATGGTTGTGTTTTAGTGACCTTGAAAAAAAAAGTACTTTCAGACCGCTGCAAATTTTTAATGGAATACACTAATAGTGCTTTCCGACCCCTACACATTTAAATGGAATACCCTCAAGTCTTCACCAAAGTGCATACTTACAGGTTCTGTTAAACTTGGGTCTTTCTCCAGAAACTGAACAACACAGTACGCCAGTTGTGGATGGTACACACTTAAAGACTTCACTTTATGTAAAGGCAATAGAACTTTTAACAAAAATACTTTGTGCTCTTCTTTTAATGGTAGGGCAAAACCATTAATAATACTGAAATATAAGAAGCAAAAATATTATGTCAATTCTTAAATCAGCATGTGGAGTATCAAAACAATGCTGATGTGTTTACATCAGATTACATAATTTGGTATAGTGAACACCTTACTTTGGATAAAGTGACATAGAAATAATCATGGGTTGTACCCTTGGCAGATAGAAACTTTGTAAACTGTATCCATTTAATACCAATTATCCCTTTAATTGGTGATAATACACTTTTTAGCCAGAATTTCCTGAAATTCCAAGTATTTTGAACCATTTTGGAAAAAAACAAGTATCATAATGACCCTAGCCAATCATGGAAAAATTCTTTATCTGTTTTCAAGGTTAACATATTATTATAAAGTACACTAATGTTCCATCATAAGATATAATTACCTTCCTAAGATTTCTAACAATTCTGCTATACCATTATGGTGCTCTGTTTCATATATAAAGCTGAAATACAAATATAGATAATTATACAAAGGTTTGATAGACTTTAATAACTATGGATTATTTATTATCATTCATTGAATACAAATTCTTGTGGAATTCTTCAGTAGATACAATCAAGATTTTAAGTGTTCAAGAAAATACAAATTATACTCTCATCTTTATACAAACTCTAGATAAGTTTCATTGATATTCATTCAGTATTTTGTAGGAGAAATTAAATGCAAATATTGTGTTATAAGGGGGTTGTATGAAATACATTATTGTTCTTATGAATTTCCCCCTTATTGCTGTGAAGGAGTATCCTGAGCAATATATCAAACTGTGAAACAGGGCAAATCAAAGTTTGAAGAAAAACAAACAAAAAACAGTTGAAATTTTATGACTTTATCTGCAATAATAAGCCCCTGTTATTATTGCTAAATATTAAGTTTACGTTACTTCAATACAAAACAAGAAATGATTTCCTGGTTTAGATTAAATTTTATTGTAAATATGCAAAAAAGTTCCTACATATGATAATACAAAGATCGAATCAGGAAGTAAATGGTTACAGGAAAATATATACTTTAATAGCATTGAAAGTGTCAACTGTTTCTTTAAATTAAAATTAATTGTAACAAGAATTTAAGTGGGTCATTTATGCTTTGATTTACATGTATCAGCATACATTTCTCTAACTAGTGAGAAAGAGGCTCCAATTAGAAAAGTAATATCCTCTGTTTGAAGCATATCTAGCTTTCAAGTCTTCAAAGACAAAAGTTTTAAGCCTTTTGTCTCAAATGAAATGAATGTCCCTAACATTAAAATATGTATGTTAATCCAGCAGCAGTAACAGCACTAAGAAGCAGTATTGACACTAACTTTTTTATTCAAGTTTTATATTTCAGACATTTAAAATTGCTTCTAGATTCTTGGATCTAAAATAAGATCAACTGGTTAAATGCCAAGAAATTGTGCATCAGCAGTGACATCTGGCAAAGCACATATGACCTCCTCCTCATATTTTATGGTTCATTGATAAAATTTATTACAAAAAATAAAACAATCTCAATGACTGCAACAACATGTCAAATATACTTGGCTTAAAGAACTAATACATATATGGCTGTCAATCAAAGTACACCTGAAACTGAACATATTTTAATTGTTCATATACATTCCATAAAATATCATAATTAGGTCAGCCCTCTCAAGTTAAGTATTAAAAAAACTAACAAGTGAAAGTGTCTGTAGTGGTTCAATGATCAACATCAATTATTTATGATTCAGCCTATCTCTCAGTTTAGAAATAGGTCAACAATATAAAGTTTACAGAATCGTTCAAGGACAACTGAACAATCTAAATTTGACTTTTATATTCATGGAAAATTTACCAACTTCAAGCTTTCTTATAAAATCTTGATTACAATAAGTAATGGGTTTTAGGCCAAATATACTAGGTCTATAGAACCAGGAAAAAAGACTATCAGTTTCCATTTAGAGGCCAAAAAAGGCAATATCATGCTAGATTAACAAAGGCACTATGGACATTTTCAGTTTAGGATTTTTTTTTTGTGGGTGCCAATGAAAACCAACAGCCAAGCCCTCAAATTTTGTATTAACTTCTACCAATTTTAAGGGTAAATACTTTGACATAAAAATCATCATAATTACCATAATTACTATAGCTCTGTAGGAAGGAACGTGATTAGAGTCCCAAGACAAAAGCTAAGAGCAAGCCTGCAACAATGGAAGGATTAAAACTTACCTGTAAAATATATTGTTGATTTGTTTTCGTATATATGCTCTTAAACCTAAAAATTTTCCATAAATCCTATGTAAAAGTGTCTTTAAAAAATCTCTTTCTCGTGGATCTTCAAAGTCGAATAATTCTAAAAGCTGAAACAAAGAAAGAACAAAATATTTAGCTTAAATTTTTCAAATTCATGTGGCTATTGGTGATGAATATAGCTTTAAGAAATAGTGAATTTTGAAAATATGTACATCATAAATATTTCTTAAAATGTCAATACAAATTAATTTCTTCCAAATCTGAGCTTCCTAGAAATGTGATACACAATTTGGTTTTATATTAATTTACATAATAAGCTCTTTTAGTTAACAAAGAATCAACTAAAAATTGTCACTGAAATTATCAGTAGTTTAAACATAGTGGTAAGTTTGTGTGTCAGTCAATTCAGGTAATTTTACTTCAGAATTACCTATCTGTTAGTCTATGTTACTATGTAGCATCAAAACAATCTATTTTCACATCATTCTGCAATCTTGAGTGAGTTTAAAATCATTTTTTTTTCCCGTTTTGAAATTCAAATAATTTTGAGTGAGTTAACAATCATTTTTTCACCCTGTTTTGTCAATTTGGATATTTTCATAAGTAAATACCCAGGAGACCTGAATATCACTTACATGGTGCAAATTAAAATCTATAGTCCCAGACAAAATAACAAACCATTTCTTAATTCAGAAGCTAAATCATATGTAAGTTAAACTGTTAACACAGAGATATATCTCGCTTTTTTGTATTTTGTTCATGCAAATGTTGAAATTAAAATAGCAATACTTTAACATGTAAGTTATGCAAATATTCAAAGTCAATGAATCATGGCTGAAGGTACATGGCTAAACAATTTCCATGAAAATGAGATGTGTCAATGCTAATACACCTGCATACCAAATACCATTGACTTATCATATGAAGTTTTTCGCTTTAAACAAACCTAAACACAAACATTAACTTGTAAACTATGTAAAAGTTTCAAAGTCAATGAACCATGATGAGGGGTGGGGCTATATAATCTCCAAGGAAATAAGACTTGTAATTACAAAATATCATGGACTTAACATTAGTGGTTCATCTTAAACTGATCTAATCACAAACCAATACATGTAAACTTGAAGCAAAAGTTTCAAAGTCAATAGACCATGACTGAGGGGGCGGGACCAAATATTATCCATGGAAATGAGATGTGCTAATGCTTATACAACTGCATACCAATCAACATTGGCCTACCACTAATGGTTCCCCTTGAACTGACCTAATCACAAACTAATACATGTAAACTAAGCAAAACGATCAAAGTCAATAGACCATGAATGAGGTGGGAGGGGCAAATAATCTCCATGGGAATGAGATGTGCCAATGCTTATTCAACTGCATACCAAATATCATTGACCTACCACTAGTGGTTCACCATAAACTAGATCTAATCAAAAACTAATACATTGTTGACACCGCCAGAAACAGCATACCTATGTCATGCATTTTGACTCTGTCACGGCGAGACAATAAACTGTTAACACAGAGATATTTCTCGCCTATCGGCATAAAATTCAGAAAAAGACAATCTGATGGACAGCAACATTGCTTATTAATTCAGTCACTGCACCATGATCAAGTGGGCAGGGCCTGAAAATGGTTGACAAACTGAGATGTACACTTTGTACAGACAGTAATGTAACTTTATAGAAAATATTGTTGTTTATTGGAAGTAGTTCCTATCAAACTAACTTAAGCAGAAAAACTTAACATTGAAAATTGCTAATTAATTCAGTCACTTGACCATGTCCTAGGGGGCAGGGCCTCAAAATAGTCGTCAAACTGATATGTTTTGATAGTAATGCAACGTCATACAAAATATCATTGATCTATCACAAGTAGATCCTATCAAACTTGCTTAAGCAGTAAACTTAACATTGAAAGTTGCTAATTAATTCAAAGTCACTGGACCATGTACTAGGGGGCAGGGCCCCAAAATAGTTGTCAAACTGATATGTAATGATGGTAGTACAACTCTATATCAAATATCAATGAACTATCACAAGTACTTTCTATCTTGCCGACTGACAAGCCAATGAAGTATACAACTATGTATAATCAACCAAGAAGTGAGGTTTTTACTGCATGCTGAAGCCCACAATATGAAGAACAGCTGTTTTTTTGCTTTTGTGTTTTTCATGTGTGTGGCAATTTTGTCTCATGAACAATTTTCTACCTAAATCATCATCAAAACATTAATATCAAAATATTCAAAAACTAAAACATTTCTGGGCATTTTAGAACAAAATCAAATTTCCAAAAATAACCAAATTTTTCATTACAATGAAGACCACCACTGATCTATAATACTAAGCATGAATAAATCATTGTAAGTAATCTGTCTTACTGTTTACTATGTAAAATTAGTGACTTTTTCACAGCTGCAAAATTTATTGTTAAATTTATGAAGTGATGACTAAATTGAAGAGCAAAGAGCAAGTCATTTATCATGTCCAACTTAAAAGTTCTAATTTCATGCTTACTTGCAACACAAATCTTTGATCAATATATTTTTTCCCTGTATTTGGCTGGAAGTCTGGAGACTCTAAAAATCTCAGAAAAAATTCATACACAAGCTGAAAAATAATAAAAAAACAAAATGAAATGGTTTGCCAAGAACAATATAAATTATGCATGAAACAGCTTTAAACAGTTTGTATACACTGCTGATACACAAAAAAGAGGATGAAATATAAACTGTTATGAAGTTTTTGTCAATAACACATACAACAGAATTATTTCTCACATTAACATGGCTGTGATAAACAGAATTATTTCTCATTAATCACTGATTCAAAGTTTAAGATCAACTTATTTGACTCAGCTTTCCTGTCAGTAGATGGTTTTGTTCAGACAAAATGTGGTCTGGATATTACAATACAATAAACTGTTGAAACAGAGATATACCTAGACTGCATATAATTTTGATAGTAAATTGCAAATGTGGAAATCAAAATAGCAATACTTTTAACATGTATATAATGCTAAATACTCTATGTCAATGAACCATGACTGAAGAAAGACTAAGATATAAGATATACCAATGATTATACAACTGCATATATACTAAATATTATTGACATTCCCATTAAACTGACCTTATCACAAACTTTAACATGTAGACAATACAAAAGTTTTAAATTCAATAGACCATGACTGAGCGGGTGGGGACAAATAATCTCCATGGAAACGAGGTGTGCCAAAGCTGATACAACTGCATACCAAATATCATACTTATCATTAGTGGTTCTCCTTAAACTGACGTCATCACAAACTAACATTTAAACTATGAAATTGTTTTAAAGTCAACAGACCATGACTGAGGGGCAGGACCAAACAAGTGAAACTGTGAGTTACTGCTCACTGATGATACCCCCGCCCAAATATAATAGTGTAAAAATATGTAAGTGTTGGTAAACAGGAAATTGTTGAGTGATGAATCTGAAAATGCATCACACTGTATAGCTGACTTATATAAACCCTGAAACCAAATTTCCGAAATCCTTATGATGTAGTTCCTGAGAAAGATGCGACGAAAAATGTTCATGGGACGGAATGGACGGACAGACAGAGGTAAAACAGTATACCCCCACTTTTTTAAAGCGGGGGTATAATAATCTTTATAGAAATGAGACGTGCCAATGATTATACAACTACAGATTCAAAATAACAGCTTTAAGTCAACACCTGGTCTTCCACAATAAACAAATGAAACGTAAGCAAATACAATGAAAACATGTTTTAGCGATACTGTCACTGAAACAACCTTGAAGATATTTATTAGTATAAAATCCAAACTATCTGATTGCTACTAAATAACACAAATAAACAATAAACAACAAGACAAATATCATATGCAACATTTACAAAAAGGCTAGACAACATGCCTCTCCTCAAATTAGCTTAAGTGACCATTATCTTTGTTTTGAAACTATTTTGTATCTGAAATTGATTTCTTGTTTCTGTTAAAAATAGATGGCACCATCACAATGTTTTTGTTCAATTTAGAAATGTTACACCATACACATGAATTTGATTTTTTTTATCATTTTGTTTAGAATAGGTTTGAATTGTTCTGTTCTTGTCTAACACCAGGGATCTCCATGCACTAGTACTGTTTATGAAGGGTCACCACCATTAATAAATCATCTTTCGTCATCATCAAATGCTCCCAACCATCGTTAAATATCTGCGCCCTGATTGAAAGTTGTAGTCAAATTTTTTTTTCTCTCTAGCCATCGATATTTATTACCAATTATAATCAATTGCATGTAATTCCATGACCTCTTTTGTATTATAATCCAAAAGGTCCTCCTGATAATTGTATAATAATCCAAAGGGTCCCTCTGATAATTGTATTATAATCCAAAGGGTTCTCCTGATAACTGTTTAAAGTCCTGATCCAGCTAATGATAACACTAATCACTTGTACAGGTAGATCAACAACACACAATAACAATTATAATAATTTACTGTACATTTCATAATTTTCACTTATCAATATCTTGCACTACTAGTAATCAAATAAACTGTCCATACCTTTTGAACTGTAAAAATGTTTTTATTTATCCTAACTCTTATTACCACTATTTCAGCAGTCAAATATAAAAGACTTCAAGGATAAATTGATTTTTTTATTGTTTTAAAACCATATGTTAACCTCTAGAAATCTGAATAATTGTGGTGATGGGTTTCTGAATCATTGATGTATGCCAAATAATGAGGAGGATAAAAGTTATCAAATAAAATGCCTGTAAAATGATGAGGTATTATAAATGTGATCAATGTTTCAAAATAAGATGTTTTTTATATGAGGCAAAATAAGTGATTAAAGTTTCAAAACAAACAAAATGTCTGTTATACCAGTTAAAATAAATGTGATTGAAGTTTCAAAACAAACAAAATGTCTGTTATACCAGTCAAAATAAATGTGATTGAAGTTTCAAAAAAACAAAATGTCTGTTATATGAGGTAAAATAAATGTGATTAAAGTTTAAAAACAAACAAAATGTCTGTTATATGAGTTAAAATAAATGTGATTAAAGTTTCAAAACAAACAAAATGTCTGTTATAGGAGTTAAAATAAATGTGATTAAAGTTTCAAAATAAAATGTCTGTTAGATGATGACGCATAATAATGAGATTAAATTTGCAAAAAGTAAACTGAGGATTCATTATTATTTGTTGGGTATCAATTTTCGTGGTTACAGGTGAACCACTAATTCAGATCATCAATGAATTGAAATTTTTATATAAGGTTGTATGCAAATTTTAGTACAACCACAAAATAAAATATCCACTGAAATACAAGTTTTCCTCAATCCACGAAAAATAAATGAATCAACAGTAGCTGATAAATGTTAATGTCAACTGCTGTTTACAATCTGCCACCTTTTTACCAGAACCTGCTGCTAGGTAGATTCTCTATTTAATTGTAAATGTGGCCATTAAGCATCTAATTTTGGCCATTTATTTACTTTTATTTACCTGTAAATGTGTCCATCAAACCTCTTTTATTTACCTGTAAATGTGGCCATGATGCCTCTAATGCAGGTTCATCTTCTTCTGGATCAAACTCTGCACCATGGGGATTTGATGAAGGAGGTAATGTTCTGAATAAATTTACACTAAACTGAAAAGGAAAATAAATGGAGAATGTCTCAATAGGACACAGATGATGCCCCCACTTGCATATAATGTTATAAAGGGACATAACTCATGAACAGTAAAAGTGATGCCACCCAAATTTGAAACTGGATCTGAGTTCTGAGGTAATAAGCATTGTGTATTAGTTTCATAACAATTGGTTGAGGCAAACTTAAGTTAGAGAACAGAAACGAAAAATTCAGCAATTTTTCCATTGTAAAGGGACATAACTCTAAAACGGTAAAAGCGACACCATCAAATTCAAAATTGATCTGTGTTTTGTGGTAATAAGCATTGTGTATAAGTTTCATAACATTTGGTTCAGGCAAACTAAAGTTAGAGAACGGAAACAACAGATTTAGCAATTTTTCCATTTATAATTATTGTAAGTAGTTACTATCAATAAAACTTAAGCAGAAAAACTTAACATTGAAAATTGCTAATTAATTCAAAGTCAATGGACCATGTCCTAGGGGCAGGGCCTCAAAATAGTCTTCACACTGATATGTACTGATAGTAATGCAACTTTAAACAAAATATCATTGATCTATCACAAGTACTTCTTATCAAACTGACTTAAGCAAAAAACTTAACATTGAAAATTGCTAATAAATTCAAAGTCACTGGACCATGTCCTAGGGCCAGTGCCTCAAAATAGTCATCAAACTGATATGAACTGATAGTAATGCAACTTCATACAAAATATCATTGATCTATCACAAGTTGATCCTATCAAACTAACTTAAGCAGAAAATTTAACATTGAAAATTGATAATAAATTCAAAGTCACTGGACCATGTCCTAGGGGGCAGGGCCTCAAAATAGTCGTCAAAACTGATATGTACAGATAGTAATGCAACTTTATATTACATGTAAATATCAATGATCTATCACAAGTAGTTCCTATCAAACTAACTTAAGCAGTAAACTTAACAATGGTTGACGCCGGAGCTGTTGCCGGAGCCATCACCAAAAAAGCAATCCCTATGTCTCACTTTCAGCGACTTTCGTCACAGGCGAGACAAAAATGAAGGTGTTAACATGGTGACAAGAAATATTATGGGTTATTTTTGCAAGCCCCCCTCCTGAAAAATGGTCCGATCATCAAACTCATCAGTGGTTCTGAAAAATGAAGGCACCGACTAGGATGGCAAAAACAGAGAATTGACTGATGGATGGGTCAAAAACATTATATACACTTGGTTGAATGGGATACTTAGTGACAATAATAGATAAAATGCAGACAGCAGTGTTAACAGAACAATTACCATATGTATAGCTTCAGGATAGATGGGTTCTGTGATGACACCTCTATTGTGCGATACAAATTCCACCATTTCATTCAGTGCTGCTCTTTTCACTTCTTTCCATTTTAAATCACTAAGAGGGTCTATTACAAAGTCAAATAGAACACAACATTGCCTGATTTTCTGTATAAATAAATCTTCTCTTTCTGCTGGTGTTGAATCTGTGGAGAAAAAATACAATATACAGCTGTTTATCATAGTGGAGAAAACATTCAATTGAAATAAGCTATACCTGTCAGAAACTAGTTCACATAAAGTATCAATTCTCACCATTATACTTTTTTTGTTTTTTTGTCCAAGAAATGTGCAATGGAAACAATAAATGACACATCTATCTCAAGTTCAGGACAATGAATGAAATCTTGTAAATTGTCCTTTCAATTATACACAAATCAACTATAACAGTGAAAATTGCTTTCCTGGAAGACCCGCTCTGTGACCAGTAAACTGTCATGCAAATATGTTACAAGAGATATATACACATATATATATATATATTTCCTTTTAGCCCTGGCATACAGCCTTTGCATTATGAAAGAAATTTTGAATGAACAGCCTTTTATAAGGTCATTGTAAATCATTATCCAAGTAATGAAGTAAAGAATTAAATTTCAAGTTCAAAATCTTTTATTCTAAAGCTTTAACTGAAAAGAAAAGAAGAATATGTCCATGGGACACAGATGCCCACGCTTGTAAATATATTGCAAATTCAATATTTTTTATATTTTTATTTCAATAATTTTTCCACTTATAAAGGGACATATCTCCAGAACGATTTAAGTTTTCACCCAAATTTGTGCTTGATCTGTGTTTGGTGGTAACTAGACATCATTGAGATGGGAGCCATCTCCGTGGGCCCCCACTATAATCTTTGAAATCATAACCGTTCTCAAGATATAGAGTGGACACGATCTTTACCATAGGACATGGGGTTGTCAATTGAAACCAAGTTTTTGACCTTGAACTTTGACCTAGGAAGTTGTACTAACATTATGAAACACCCTCTGGTTTTGGTTAATATACATGTCAAGTATAAAGTATGAAATTATAATGGTTCTCTAGATATAGAGCAGACACAATTTGTTACGGACGGACGGACAGACTGATCACTATAGGGCGATCCGCCACTAGGCGGGGCCCTAATAAGCTTTGTGTATAAGTTTCATAACAAACTAAAGTTAAAAAAACAGAAAATAATTTCAAGATGTATGGACTGACAGTAAAACTGTTAGCCCCCTCCACTGCATTGGGGCATAAAAAAATTGCTCAGCTGTATTCACTTCTGTGTGGTCAGAGGTTTGATATTCAATGTACTATAGCAAGTAACCAAGCCAGTCCTTCAGAGATATGTTAAAAACATCAATGTACTATGGCAAGTAACCGATCCAGTCCTTCAGAGGTATGTTAAGAACTTCAATGTACTATGGGAAGTAACCGATCCAGTTCTTCATTCCAACATACTTTTATCATAATGTACTCTGTTCAACATCATGAGCAGTATAATTCATTTTACTTATGAATGACATATTGTAATACATAATTAAAGACATGTAGAAGGAAAAAGATAAATATTTCCTCTTATTAACAACATCCATGCTACCTTTAGATCAATATGATATAATAGTACATGTATTAAATAAACAATGATGTCAAGCTAAGTCAGCTCATGTAGAATTTTATCAATATACAGTATTACTTCCGTGGATGATAAAGTTGAGGTTACCCAAGGCATTCTCCTATTTTTAACAGGTATATCAGGTATACGGTAAGGACAATATGGATCTATTTGTAATACATATACTTAGAAATTTATTGCAACATCACATACAAGAAAAGATTATAGTTTCTGGAGAATTAAGGACAAATATAGACAAATTAAAATAAGATTATAGTTTCTGGAGAACTACTTAAGGACAATATAGACAAATTAAAATAAGATTATAGTTTCTGGAGAACTAAGGACAAATATAGACAAATTAAAATAAGATTATAGTTTCTGGAGAACTAAGGACAATATAGACAAATTAAAATAAGATTATAGTTTCTGGAGAAATAAGATTATAGTTTCTGGAGAACTAAGGACAAATATAGACAAATTAAAATAAGATTATAGTTTCTGGAGAACTAAGGACAAATATAGACAAATTAAAATAAGATTATAGTTTCTGGAGAACTAAGGACAAATATAGACAAATTAAAATAAGATTATAGTTTCTGGAGAACTAAGCACAAATATAGACAAATTAAAATAAGATTATAGTTTCTGGAGAACTAAGGACAATATAGACAAATTAAAATAAGATTATAGTTTCTGGAGAACTAAGGACAAATATAGACAAATTAAAATAAGATTGTAGTTTCTGGAGAACTAAGGACAAATATAGACAAATTAAAATAAGATTGTAGTTTCTGGAGAACTAAGGACAATATAGACAAATTAAAATAAGATTATAGTTTCTGGAGAACTAAGGACAAATATAGACAAATTAAAATAAGATTATAGTTTCTGGAGAACTAAGGACAATATAGACAAATTAAAATAAGATTATAGTTTCTGGAGAACTAAGGACAATATAGACAAATTAAAATAAGATTGTAGTTTCTGGAGAACTAAGGACAATACAGACAAATCAAAATAGTATTTGATTCTTCTTTACCTACCTTCCCATAAAAATAAAACATACCTGAGAAATTGTATAGCCTTTTTATCTAAAAATCGTTTCACACTATTTTTCAATTGTCAATTTCAGGAATGTTTGAATTAAGAGGAAAAAAATATTTATCTACCTTTATACAGCCATGAAGTTTAGACTTGGAAATTACTGATTGAAAACAAATCACTAACTTCATCATACATAGTTCATGCTCATTGATGGACGACCACAGAGTGACCTAAACTGACATCTTTATCCTTGTTCTTTGTTTCTTAATCATCTGAATAATACTTTCATTCCCTAAATAATTACATGAATTAAAAAGATATATTCTGATCAAATCATCTCCTCATATTGTCTCAGTGAATTAAAAAGCTATATTTTTTTTTTTATTTGTTCGTTTGTTTTTTTCTTTTCACAATCCTGATTGAATTCAAAGGTACTGTATCCATAGATTTTTCTCAAGCAAACAATTTGCATCCTTTCTGACACCAAATTTCTTTGGCTGATCTTAGAACAGCAGTTTGACATTTTGAATGACCAGTTTTGTTCAAGTTTCACAGGGACAAATTAAAATATTCTGAAAATGTTAACCCTATAAAATAAACTGCTTCGCCTAGCACAGCTGGATACGACCGCAGAGGTCCAACCCTGAACAGTTGGGGCAAAAATGGACACAATTTCAAGCTTGATACAGGTCTGAATTTGGATTGTAATTAAATATTTGACTCATTATAGGTTTCTGACACATTATAAATGTAGTTAAAGAACTTGAAATTGGTTATATGATTTGAATTTATATTCAATTGAAGATTTTTTGCTTTTGTGCAATACACTGTGCTGTTGCGCAATACTTAGTAAATCTGTTTTCAGACTATATACAAAGAATTAGCAAAATAAATTGTGACCCCAAATTTTTCTTTGGAAAATTGACAATTTCTTAAATCTTGAGGGAAAAAAATTGACCCCCCCCCCCCCAAAAAAAAATTTTTTTTGCAGTCGTATAAAAAGCAAATATTACATTCAATACATGTCCTACTGTGATTCTTACTTTCAACTGCAGAGGTCAAATGATATTTTGGCGATTCTTTAAACACCTTCAACTGCAATGGTCAAATGATATTTTGGCAATTCTTACTTTCAACTGCAGTGGTCAAATGACATTTTGGCATTTCTTACTTTCAACTGCAGTGGTCAAATAATATTTTGAAGTCATCAGTAGAATCTTTTCTTAAGTATGTATTTTTTGTATTTGTTTATTTACTTAACTTATCTAAAATAGACAAGAAGATTTGGTGGAACCTATAATGGCTCACTAATCAATTCATGCATTTTTACAAATATTTCCAGTTGATTTGACTCCTTTATATAAACAATAACAAACATTTGTATTTTGTTCTTCTACTATATATCTATATGGATTACATTTAATAAATCCATTTAAATTGAAAAGTAATGATTTTTAAATTGCTACATGTACAGCTTTATATGATCATGAGATTTTCTTATTTGAGAACATAAATATATGTCAAGATGTGTGACTAAATATATATAGAGTATATCAATACTAGTTAGCACAAAAGGTATTTATTGATTATTACAATAAGTAAATTCACAACATGTGGAAAAAACTAAGAGCACTACTTTCAATAAAGACCTCACCTTGCATGTACAAAAAACAAGTAAGATACCAAGGGGGCAGTAAATAAGTCTTAGAAAGTCAGGAATCACCAATCATTGCCAGAACTAGAACTATATGATCTAGTGATCACAGATAAGACCTTTTGCAGAAAACTCTCCAATGGTAAATGACAAAACCAAAGTTCAAATTGAAGTTCAGAACATGACCAGTATTTCATTATTTGATAACAGTGTGTTAAAATGTCAAAAGATTTTGTCAAACAATTTTTTAATTTCTCACCTGGCAACACAAAAAAAAATTCCATTTTTTAAGGTCACTAAGGGATACAACTCTTAAACGGTAAATGTCAAAAACCATCAAACTCGAACTTGGCTAATAATATTAAATGATCCCTTACCCTGTGTTCAAATTTCAATAGATTTGGTCATGTGATACTTTATTATCACTCAAAACCAAAGAAATACCTTAAGGTACATTGTAACTAAGGGGAAAAAATAACATTGAACAATAAATAACAATGAAAAATAGCATGATATTTGCATTATCTTCCAGAAACAAAAGAAACCCCAATTTTTGAGGTAACTAAGGGTCATAACTCTTGAATGGTTAATGTCAAAACCATCAAAATCAAACTTGACATATGTTATGTTTATGGTCCATGACATTGATTTAAAATAGCAATAGATTTGGTCAAGTGATTCTTTAATAATCTTTTAGAAACCAAACTTGTAAAAAAAGGACATGTCTATCTCCATATAACCCTCTCTTCAAGGTGAGAATATAAACAAGTCTGCAGGACACAACAAAGAAAACTGAATATTGAGCTATAAGAATCCCACTAAAAACTTGGGGTGAACATATGAAT